TACCCTTTCCTTGTTATTTTAATACTGCTTACCATGAAAAGAAGAAAATAAACCTAGTTTAAAAAAACAACATGTGACAGTAAGTTACGAAAGATTAAAGGATCCATTTCCAACAGTGACAAAATTTTTTATCAGTGAATAAATCTATTAAAAGATATGTGAGTTATAAGGTATAGCATAAAACCTTAATGAAATTGGAGTGACATTAATAAATTATGTTCATGAATTGAAAGACTAGCCCACTAGTATTCCAGTCTAGTTTCGTAAATTATTTTGCCCTAATTGGATATCATACATGTGTAGATACTTGCAATCTAAGTAGTTGGTAATATTTCATTTTCTACCAAACTCATCTCAAGTTTTTTATTTCTTAATTTTATTTATCTCAATTCTAACGCTTGCCCATTAGTTTTAATTATATAACCTAGTACAAATTTATCCAATTTGATAAATGATTATTTAGGTTGTTTCCTTTCTTTTTATTATTAAAAATGGTGCATCAGCTGCCTTATTCATGTCACTTTTAACAGATATGGAATTTTTCTAGAGTATATATTCCAATAGAGTAAAATTGTTAGTTTGAAAATTATGCTCATCTTCAAACTTACTTTAAATTACCATTTGCTCCTAACTGCATCAGTTTATATTCCTGCAGTCTATATGAGAGCTTTCATTCTTCATTCTTCTTTTGGCTTGTTGTCAGTTTGTGTTACCAGTCTTGAATTTTTTGCCTATCTTGACTGGTGTAAAAATGATAGCTCAGTATAGTTTTTATGTGTATTTCCTTAATTACAAATAAAATAATTAGTGAAAATTTGTTTTTTGACATTTAGATTTTCTCTTCTATGAAATGCCAAGTCTTATCTTTTGCCGTTTTTATTGTATTATCTTGATTTGTAGGAACTCATTACATATTATGGATAATAATCATTTGTTACATGTATTACACATATCCAATCTATAGCCTGGGTTTTTTTGGGTTTTTTTGGTTTTGTTTATGATATCTTTTATATTTTGTTTAAATTCTTTCTTGCCTCCAAATCATAAAGATGTTCTATATTTTCCTCTAAATGTTTGTTTTTCTTTTCATATTTAGTTCTCTGGAGAAGAATTTGTTTTTGTATATGGTATGAGGCACGCTTTCAAGTCTATTCTGCTGGTTAGTGTTTTTGTTCCCGCGGTCTCTTGACTTGAATAGGATTATAACAAATCCTGATGAATGATAGATAAGATTTCATTCTTTAAAACTGTCTTGGTTATTCTTGTTTCATTGCTCTTTCATTTTAATTTTAGTATCAACTTCTTAAGTTCCAGAGGTCAAGGGGGTTATATCTTGTTGGTATTTTGATTGAAATTGCTTTGAATTTGCAGATTAATTTATGTAATTAATTTTTAATTACATTAAAAAGGTACATTACTTCATTTATTTAGCTCTTGTGTAATAGTGAAGTTTCCTGTTACTTCTATAGGTCTTATACATCTTTTGTTTAGATTTCATCCCAAGTGTCTTACGTTTTTTGTTGTGATATTAAATGGTATTTTTAGCTAACTTTTTTTTGGACGGGCAGGTAATTAGGTTTATTTATTTATTCATTAATGGAGGCACTGGGGATTGAACCCAGGATCTTGTGCATGCTAAGCATGCACCCTACTGCTGAGCTATACCCTCCCCTCAAGTAATATCTTTTCTTAATTACATCTTAAGTTGATTGCTAGTGTGTAAGAATGTAATTTATTTTTATATATTGATTTTAAATCTAGCAACTTGCTGAACTCTTATTCTAGAATTTATAAAATATTGGGTTTTCTATTTAGACAGTCATAATATAAATAATAATAATTTCATTTCTCCCTTTCCAGTCATTTTACCTTTTATGTCTGTTAACTTGCATTACTATGCTCACTAGGACTTTCTATTAAATGAAGTTGAATTTACCATAGATTTTTGGTGGATAACTTTAATTGAGGAAGCTCTTTTCTAGTCCTGGTACAGTGAGAGTTTTAGTTGTGGTCCTAAATTTTATCTAATGCATTTTGGGGGGGCCATCATCTATAGAAATAATCGTATGTTTATTTCCTTGTTGCCATATATTAATGTAGTATATTTTGTTAGTAGGTTTTTAAAATATTAAATGTAAATACTACTTTTTCAATTAAACTCAGCTCATTTATGAAAGGGGAAGAAGGAATAAAATGCACATTTATGTAAGTTTATAAAATGCTTAGGATTCAACCAAAGGGTAGAGAGGCACATCCTTTTCTCATTAAAATTCATGCCTATTTCAGCTGTACTCACTGATTTCATCCCGTCTTTTGTAAGAACTTTTCTTCAGTAGCTTTAATTTTTACCTCAAGTGTCCACATTACTGTAGAGAAGATGATAAACTTTAAAATGATTAGAAGCATAGTGGGATAAATACTAGGGAAAATTAATAGAATGTTGAACAGGGTAAACGATGTTAGTAGTTTCAACTCTGTGATATAAGACACATGAGAGCTAGTATTATAATAATCCAGTGAAGAAAATTTACCTGTAGGATTAAAGGAAAAATAAAATAAGCATGTTACCATGTATTTATTTTTCTTTATCTATTTTTTGAATTAACACAGAAGCAATTATGTGGTTATTTGATATGTATCCTGCCAGCCTTGTTTTATGCACAATATTCTCACGTTTTTAATAGAAGAATATAATGTATACATTTTTTAAAGTACTGTGGGTTTGAGTAAGATATCCAGAATGCTGATATAATCTTATCAGTTGCTCTTTTTTTTTAATTAGTTATAAATTGTAGAGGTATTTCTAAAGTTTATTTGGATGGAAGTGTAGCAATGCGTATTGATTCCTCTTAAATCTTTCCTACAGAAGTACCATGGTTGTGCGCTTATACACAGACACAAACAAGCAGGACATTCATTGGACCGTCTTTCTGTAATGGTGAAAAACAAAACCAAAATAATTATCCATCATTAGGGACATGAAGTACATCCATACAATGAGAGATCCTACAGCTGTGAAAAGAAAGATATAACTCCATATTGGTACATATAGATCTGTCTCTAAGATATATAATAAGAAAAAAGAAATCAAAGCCCAAAATAGTGTTTCTCATGTTCTATCATTTGTGTTCTCTTTCATTAAGAGAAGAACAGAATATATATTCACTTAATTATCATGCACTGAAACGGCAGAATTATATGAAGCCATTAAAAAGAAAGTATTGATATGGAAAGATCTCTAAGATATACTGTTAATTTTTAAAATAATAATAAAGCAAGTCATAGAACATACTATCTGATCTCATGTTTAAAAAAGTATATTTTTATCTGTATTTTTTCATTTTTCATTTTTATTAGAATTGTTACAATATGACTGCACATATATAATATATTGCATGTAAATACATATATACAATATACTGCACATATTTTTTCAATTTACGTATATGTAGTGTTCATTGTTTCTAAGAACAGTTTAGAACTTTAGCTTTTTAAACTTACATTGTTATCAAAGGAATAAAGCCAACCACATATTTCTAAGTACTTATTAAAAGAACAGGATATATACATACCTAACTTAATAATGGTTACTTCTTAAAAATACTTGAAGACCAGAAGTCTTTACTGTGCATATCTGTATTGTTTAATTTTTTTATGATGAGACTTCATTCATATATTATTTCTGTAATAAAGGAAAAAGTAATATCTGCTCACTATTTAAAAATGAAGATTTAAAGATAAAATTAAAAAGAAGAAGATTTTAAGTATTCACAGTAGCCTTACCACTCTGAGATAACTACTGTTAAAGCCTTGATAAATACCTTTCAGAGATGACATTTTGTGGAAGATACTTAATCCTAAACCAGGGAGAAGGAGAGACAAAGCTCCACAGTGGGCATGTTTTTTAAGTAGAAAAATAACATGAAAGCATGTAGCTTATTGTCTGTCATGGTTTTGATTTTCATTGTATCCCCAGTGCTTTTATAGCACATAATATCCGTCAGTAAGTATGTGTGTAAGAAATGAGTGATGCTGATCTACTCCCTGTGTTGAAGCTCTTCCGGTGCTAAAACCCAAGGGTAAGAAATCATACTTGTTGGCTGTTAGAAGACTGCTGACTGTAACTAGATAACATTGGGCAAATAACCCTCACTATTACTACATCTTGCTTGGATTAGCACACGTAACATTTAATACCACTCTCTTCTCACATCTGTGTAAGACATGGAAAGCTCTTATTAGAATAGATAAGCCATCTAGGGTGGCACAGAAAGCTTTGTTTAAGAAAAAATACCTAACCTCATCTGCTAAGTTGCTCTAGCCTTTGTCTCTTTACAGGCCTTGTCTCATAGCCAGAACACTGCTCTGTAATGTAGTAGGGAATGGAATGTTTCACTTACCCGTGATGAAAAAGGTAGATTATAAAAACTGTAATATTAGGCTTTTCTGTTGTACTTATCTTCCAGTCACACAGGTCAAATTAAAACTGCTTAATCTTAGAAATATTTTTATATGTGTATAAGTATATATAAAAGGGTAATTTTATTTTTTAACTTTTTTCTCCTTTTTCAGTTTTATTAGGTAGAATTATTACAGTTCAATTGCACATACACATTATATTGCATGTAAACACATATATACAGTATACTGCACTTTGTTTTAGTTTACATATATGTACTAATTATTGTTTCTAAAAACAGATTAGAGCTTTAGCTTTTTAAACTTATATAGTTACCAAAGAAATAAAGCCAACTACAAAATAAGAATCAACAGAATGCGGTAATCCAATCATAAAGGACAGTCAAATGTGCTTACACATATTCAAGAAATCAATCGTCTTAGTTATAAATAATAAGTAGTTCATTTGTGTCCTTATTATTATTGTTACTAAAAGGGTAATTTAAAGTCTATGATTAGTTAATTATCATGAAGCCTGAGATCAAATTTTTGAATTTTTTTAAGGAAACAGTAATTTGTATTATTTGTGTTTTTCTTCTTAGTTTCTGCCACTGCCTTCTACAAAGCACAACCTGTAATTCAGTTCATGTGTGAAGTTCTTGACATTCATAATATTGATGAGCAACCAAGACCTCTGACTGATTCTCATCGGGTAAAATTCACCAAAGAGATAAAAGGTGAATTAATTAACATTTGGAACAACTTAAGTATAAAATGCATGAATATAACAAACTTTCGTTGAAAGTTTTTTAAGTTAAAATCTTTTCATGTAACATCACCAGTAAAAATGTAGATTGATTATAAAATGTCACGTTAAATTCATTACCATAACATCTTAGGTAGTGTTTCAATGAAAGAAATACCAAGTAATGAAATTAATATTGATACTAACTAGTTTTTTGTTAATATTTTCTTTTACTAGCTGAAGAGATGAATATCTCATGGGAAAATGCTTCTATGATATTGTTAAAAATAGGAAGCTTATTCCAAAAACATTGTTACTTCAGAACTGGAGCCATTCTTTGAACATATTCTAATATAATGACTTCTTTATTTTTCTGAAATGATAGCAGAATATTGTGGATATGGGGCTAGCTTGTTTCATGTGTTATTCTAGAATTAAAACTTAGTTATTTCATATGCATTGTACAGTTGACCATTAATCTTGCCTCTTTTAGTTAGTAGCTAAAATTTATACAGTGGTGTTGCATCATATGTATATTTTACTAATATAAATTCATCTCTAAATGGTCTTCCAAAGATAAAAAGAAAAAATTAATTTCAATTGTATTCTAAAATTTATATTTTGCATATATTTATTCTTTATATATTTGTACATTTTTATGTACATATACAGTTTTATGTGCAAACCCATATAAACTGTACTTTATCAGCAATTTAGGGGATTTTTTCAAGAGGAATCTCCCCCACCCCTTGGGTTTCTTTTTTTTTTTTTTTTCCCTACTTTTTTTTTAATGCAAGTACTGGGGATTGAACCCAGGACATCATGCATGCAGAGCACACACTGTACCACTGAGCTGTTACCCTCCCCAAGAATAATTTGATTATGTAAAATCCTTGCCTTGTTCATAACTTTAGAACCTAATCCTCATATAAGATGTGACTCCACTGTATTTAGTTCTTTATTATTTAGACACAAAGAGAAATTAGATATTCTCTAATTAGAATGAGTAGGATAAATTCTTCTTATCATGTTAGATCTTAAATAGTCAGAAATACTTGTGTTGTTTTATTTTAAGGTTTTACCTATTTGCTGCAGATAATTTTCAGCTTGTGGTTTGAATGAAGTATTAAAGTTTGTTCTTTGAACATCTTTCAGTTCCCCAAATCAATTAGTGTAGCTGAATACATCTTACTTGCTCCAGTAATCATTTTTTGCCATTCAGTAACCAGGAGAGAGAGAGTCACTGTAATAAAACATTAAAAGGAAAATCCTTCCTTCTTTGAAAATAAGCATCCATTTATCACAATTTATTTAAGTGTCAGAATAAGAAAGTGTTATATATTCTCGTATTGCAGTCATAGCGTTGTCCTTTCATAATCTGTATTAACTGCACAGTTCGCATTGTTAGGAGGTAGTGCATTACCCACCATTAATATGTGATCATCTAAATGCCATGGTTTCCCATGGAGTTGCTGCTTAGTTACCACCTCTGATATCATGAAGTCACTTACATTATTTTGCGGTAACTATGCAATCAACTCATATCACCACTCTATCACAGAAAATACAAGATGTACAGAACAAGGATTCAACTGCTGCCCGAAGAGCATGGACTCGATCTTAACGTCAACTGCTCAGGGGGCCAAAGAAATGACTGAAAATATGACTAGACAAAGCATAATAAAGTTGATGTTATAGTGAAGGTAAAGCCAAGTTTATAGGTTAAATTATTTGATTTATTAAAAGCCAAAAACATTTTTGGTTGGATGGAGGGTTTGGGGAGGGATCTGGGCAGAGAATTATCTAGTCCATTTTTTTTTTTTATTTAACTTTTTGCTAACCCCTGAATTTGGACCTAATCCTTGGCAATTATGACCATAGATTTGGGTTAGAGAAATCTGAGTTGGATCTAATTGACAAACTGATGGTTTTTTCCTCTATTCAAAGTCAAGAAGGCTTTTTCTAAAGAGGACTCTTTAAAGTACATCATGTATTCCTACCTCAGTAACTCAGAATCAAATTTACATATTCTGTGTTGTATATTTAGGTTTAATTTTTAGTTGACATGAGAAATTTGATAACTGTTAAATAGTGATACAAAGTATGCTATAATGAATAGATTTTCTTGTACTATACACATTTGACTCCAGTTGAACTTTTTTCTAAATATTTAATAATAACTTTAGGATGGTTTCCTTGTGCAATAATTCATCATAGTTAAGCAGCAGAAATAATGGGGGAAGTGTATGGTAAAAGTACCATATGTATGTAAAAGTGTCAATTTATTCTTGATAAAAAGTTATGTAGTAGGTTTGCAGAATCTTACTGATTTTTTTTAATTCATGGGGGAGATTTGAAAAGAAATTGCTAAGTGGTGTAGTTAATAGAAATTTGTTTTAAATTTTTCTATCATGTTTTCACCCTAAATATTTTTATATCTTGCTTTCTTCATAAAGATAGTTACTAATAAAAATTATTTCTCACTGATTCAATTACGAGTACTTCTCAAGAAAACCCCTTACCTATCTAGTACAGTGACAATGTGTCCATTTAACATCTTAATTTATGGTGATATATCAGAAGAAAATATTACTGATTGAACTTTGTGTTTTGTACTGCAGTTGGTAGATAGGAAAATAAGTTATACTATATCAGGATTTCTCAACCTTGACATTATTGATATTTTGGGCTGGATAATTCTTTGTTGTGGTTGGGGATGGGAGGCAGTGGTGTCCTATGCATTGTAGAATAATTTAGCAGCATCCCTAGATCCAAGTATTCCTAAATCTAGCATCCACTAGATGCCAATAGCACCCCACAGTCATGACAATCAAAAATGTCTTCAGACATTATCACACAGATGTTTCCTGGAGGATAGAATCACCTCTGATTAATAACCACTTCACTGTAGGATTCACAAATGTAGAAGGGAAATAATACAAAAATAATAACCATTAACACTATCAGGGAACTCAGAGTTGTATGCCATCTACCCCTTTTTAGATTTTCCTCCTTTGAAGTGTAGGCCTTATAAATAGAGTTGCTTATCTGTGACCAGTAGCCACTGTGTTTGCTTGTTAGTTCTTTAGGTAGTTCTAAGACTGCATTGGCCAGTGTGGTAGCCACTAGCCACGTGTAGCTGTTTAAATTTAAATTTTAATTAATTAAAATTTCAGATTTTCAGTCACACTAGCTATATTTCATGTGCTCAGTAACACATATTGCTATTGATTTTAGTGCAGATATAGAACATTTCATCATCTCAGAAAATTCTGTTGAACGTCACTGCTTAGGAAAATTCATTCCAAATAATTTCAGCTAATGGTTTAAAAGCCTATGGCTTCACTTTTCTAAAGTAGACCTGGGATCCTCAAACCCTTAGGGTCCACAGATGGATACAGGGATCCAGGAACATCTAAAACCATATGCTAAATTATGTGTATGTGCATTTTTCTGAGAGTTTATTGCCTCCATCAGATTCTCAATGGGCTCATTGATTCCATAAGAATGTCTGCATCATCTGTTCTAGGAATTATTTTGGTTACATTTCATTTCTAATAGTCAGTAGTAAAAGAGCTATGTTACTATATTATGCTTCAACAAAGGGCCTGGGGGAGGTTTTTTTTGTTTTTTTTGTTTGTTTGTTTTTTCTTCCTGCTTTAAAAATCTTTGAAGGACTTTCTTCTTGAGCTTTATGAAATTCTGATCTTCAGTCAGTATGTGACAACTGGACTATTTAAATATCATGTACTTTGAAGGTTATAAAATATCTTGAGAGTTATTGCAAGTCCTTTTTCATTGCTCCTTCCCTCTTCCAGCATAAAAACCTGCATTATTAACAGAGGTTTTTATTAATGGAGAACTTTGTCCCTTGATCTACAGGCTTTGGAAATTTTATACTATTTTTCAATAGCTTAATAGAATAGGGAAAAGATTTGGAGTTAGGTCTATTATTATTTTAACCATTATTAACAATGTTGTATATAAAATCCTTTGTTGATATCACATTGCCAAATTTTCTGTTTAGAGTTTGAGTTTTCATAGGAGTGAATAGGCTTTAAATTATAAGTATTTTACATGTGACAGTTCTATAACCTCCGTTTTTCTTGTTGGGAACAGGTCTGAAGGTTGAAGTGACTCATTGTGGAACAATGAGACGGAAATACCGTGTTTGTAATGTAACAAGAAGGCCTGCCAGTCATCAAACGTAAGAAAAGCTGGTGTTTGTCAGAGCAGAGATGATGTGAGGCAGCTTGCTCTAGTTAGTGGATTGGGAGTTTTGCTGGCTCTTAATGAGATAAGAGTTGTTAATGTGCAATTTTTTTTTCCAGCTTTCCTTTACAGTTAGAAAATGGCCAAACTGTGGAGAGAACAGTAGCACAGTATTTCAGAGAAAAGTATACTCTTCAGCTGAAGTACCCACACCTTCCGTGTCTACAAGTGGGGCAGGAACAGAAACATACCTATCTGCCACTAGAAGTAATGTGTTTAGGCTGTTTATTAATATCTTCTTATTTATCATTCTGTTGGGGTTTTCTTAATGACTGTAACTTACTTTATACTTTCACATTTATTTTGGAGATTGAACTGTTTTTAAATTTCATTTTCATCTAAATTTTCAGTTATGAAATAATACAGGGAAAAAATTAATCCCCTGTCCTAGTACTATAAATGTAACCACTGTTAGCATTTTGGTATACTTCTTTTCAGCCCTTTTATCCAATATACATTTTGCCTAATTATAATAATACTATAAAGCAGTGTTGTTTACCACTTTTTTACTTCACATGATATTAAAAAGAATTGGTTTAATGGAGTAGATTTTAAAATTTAATCTCACATGTAATTGGCACTCAGAATTTTTAAAAAAGATACATACATCAAGCACAAACCTTTTTTCCATTTGTAGGTCTGCAATATTGTGGCAGGGCAACGATGTATCAAGAAGCTAACAGACAATCAGACCTCCACAATGATCAAAGCAACAGCAAGATCTGCGCCAGATAGACAAGAGGAAATTAGCAGATTGGTTAGTACTTAGCCCTAGAAATGGAAATTGAAAACATATTGTGGACGGTGGGGCAAGGTATAGCTCAGTGGTAGAGTGCATGCTTAGCATGGACAAGGTCCTGGGTTCAATCCCCAGTACCACCACTGTCAGTCAATCAGTCAATTAATCAATCCATCCTCCCCACACCAGAAAAATAATTTTTTAAAGGGACAAACAAATAAATAAGCATAATTACCTCCTACCAAAAAAAAAAACATTGGGGTAAGCTACTAAAGAACCGTGTCCTTACTACCATTTCATAAAGTATCAGAATTAAAAGAGATTATGGAAGTAATCTAGTGGTATTCTAGGAGTAAACCTTATTGGTTCTATGAGAAGCGTTAGATCCTTCTAATTTAACCCTAAGCTCTTTAGTTAGATCCAGAACAGATTCTCTCAGAACCAATGTTTCAGTTTAGTGAACTGGACCTTTATATCCTCCTACTTAAAGAGGAAGGGAAAAGGAAGAAAAGTCAAGGTATTATGATGAGCAATGGTGGGAGTCTTAACACGCCAAGTAGGATTGCTTAGCCCTAGTATCAACACTGGTGACTGTACAGGATGAGTAAAGAAATACAAGACCATATGGGATCTCTAAGGTGTCTCCTTGTTCTGAATGGGTAGAAAAGAAGAGATGTCAGTACCACCTTATACAACTGACAGAATAAGGCAAAATGAAAAATAAAGGCACCTGGATCTTATCTTACTGTCTTCTTGAATATCATGTAAATCACCCAAGTTAAGAGAAAAAAGTCCGGAAATATTAGTATTTACCCAAAATTAATTTAATAACACTTTTCAAAAACAATTTTAAAGATTGTTGGAAAAGGGTCACAGAACTGGCTCTTTCATTTTGTAAGCCAGTTACCCAAAAAAAGACCTTTTTTTTTTCTGATAGTTCTGTTAAGAGTAGTTATTACATGATATTTAATTAGGAAAATACGGCTGGTTCTCACCATGGATTTTTCTCTGATCTACTATAACAAAATTTTAAAACCTTTAAGAGACTAGAACATCTCACTGTCTCTATAAAATTTTAATAACTAATTTGACTCATTTATTATAGCTTTTCTGTTCAGAGAGATAATATTGTACAGTGATTAAAAGCATAGGCTTTGGACTGTTAATAGCTGAGTTCAAAGTCTAACTTCTCCACTCATTTACTGATACTATTATTGCGTTATAAGTATAACGTCTGGCAGGCTAGTGCAGTGACTGAGAGTAGGAACTCTAGCATCAGAACGGTTTCAGATTGTATGTCACTTGCTTAGCTATGTGGTTTTAGGCCAATAATTTTACTTTACTAACCTTTAGTTTTGTCCTCTGTAAAATAAAGACGATAAAAGACTTTTATAGTGGTAAGTCATAATTAATTGTGAAATTTAATTGTAAAACATTTAGCACCAAGCACATTACCCAGCAAGTCTTGGAAGGTAGTAGTTATTGCTATTCTTTATAACCTCATAAAAATGAATGGCATTTAAGCTTGAAGAAAAGATACATTAGTGCCTAATTTAGAAAACAACTTTTCCTGCTTATTGTAGGGAAATTCTTCTTACATAGTTACATTATATAGTGTGTTTTAATAGATTGTTACTCAAAGACTTGAACACTGCCTTCTTTTTGTAACCTTTGCACTTTACCCTGAGACTAAATATGTTTTGAAAAAGAGTTATTATGGCACACTATAAGCATGAATTACACTTTGAGATCCAAGCCTATATTGAATTACAATAAGTTCTTTATCTTTGAACGTATGGATATATTATATAAAAGTTATAATCTGTATCTCAAACTGGCTTTTTTGTCTGTCACAAGTGTATCTTTTAAATTTTTAGTGTGCTATATTTTATCTGAAAATATGTAAGTAGATTTTGTATAATTTGTAAATCAAGTAATTAGGGAAAAAGCCTTAGGATTATCAATATTTGCTATCAAACTGTACATAAAATAAATTTTAATAGTGTACGTATAGATCCTTTGATTAGAAGTTTTTAACCATTTTTAGGTCAGGTATTTCTCTTGCAGTCTCTAGACTACCGTCCCCAAAATATATTAGGCTTAATCATACAAAATTACCATTTTCGTGAGTTATAAATAGTTAAAATTTCTTTTTAATCACTCTAATACATTGAAATGTTCTGTAAATTACCAGAAAGTTCAGCGACTTCCTGCAATCCACTCATGGTCTGTGGTCTCCAAGTTTAAGGTTCTCTGCTTTATAGTTGGGGTATCAATATCTAGAACTATTATAAAACATTGTTGACACATGAAGGAAAAAAAATAGATGGTTCTAAAGCAGGGGATTTGGGGGAATTTTGACAGTAACTACAAACTTTTTATGTTGGTAGGTAAGAAGTGCAAATTATGAAACAGATCCATTTGTTCAGGAGTTTCAATTTAAAGTTCGGGATGAAATGGCCCATGTAACCGGACGTGTACTTCCAGCGCCTATGCTCCAGTATGGAGGCCGGGTAAAAAACCTCTTGATAATTTTTAAATTATAAACATACAGTTTCTGTGTATGGAGAGAAGGACATCCTAGCTGAGTCTGGAATTTAGAAACATGTTTTATTGTTCTAACAGTTTTTAAGATGAGTGCCTTTGCTTGAGCTTTAGTAGAACTTTTATTTTTCTATGATAAAAATATAAGATACTGATTTAGAATAGCCTATTCCATATAGAATATCAAATAGATACCAGTTCAGCAATTCGAGATGCTTATTTTCAGCTCATTCAAATAAATTATATGTTAAGTATTTGTTCTTTTTTGCCTTTTTATTTCTTTTTTCTCTGTAGAATCGGACAGTAGCAACACCAAGCCACGGAGTATGGGACATGCGAGGGAAACAATTCCACACAGGAGTTGAAATCAAAATGTGGGCTATAGCTTGTTTTGCCACACAGAGGCAGTGCAGAGAAGAAATATTGAAGTAAGGCTTGTCATTAGTTTGGCTTTGGGACCTTTTTGTGTTTAAATTTTGTATTTCAGTTTAAATTACTCTGCTAATATTCTAACAAATATTGCCTCAATATGAAGTATATTTAATCACTGAACTTTTAAAAATGTTCCTTCTCGATAGTTTTACGTAAGATTCCTGAATTCGTTGGTTATAGCAAAATCACTGGCTTAGGAGTATCATTGGCTTTGATGGCAAATAGGTTAGGTTTAATTCCCAGGTTTGCTACTTCCTAGTTTTATTACTATGGATAATTTATTTAACTTCATTATGCTTCAGTTTTCACCTTTTAAAAATAGAGATAATAGGATCTATCTCCTGGATGAGGATTAAATACCATCCTTCTCAATTGAGTTCCTTGAAAGAGTCATTTAACTTCTCATTTTCACTTCCTTACTTTCCAAAATTTGGCCTTCATCTCCACCACTTTTCCTTTTCTCCAGATTCTTTGCCTCAACATCTAAGTGTTCAACAATCTTCTGTTTAAATTTAAAGTAAACCCCCACAAATCTTCAATTTTCATTTTACCCGATTTATTCTCTCAGGCTGCCAGTCTTCCATTCTCTCTCCTTCCTTAAAATCTTAGTGTTTGCTGAAACTGGTTCCTGGAAGATCCTAAAGATCTTTGTGCTTATCAATTCTAATTGATAAGCCATTCTCTTCTCAGTCGTTATTTTTCTCAAAATTTGTGCAGCATTAAGAGATAATTGATTAGCTTCTTGACAGTCTCTCCATTTTTGCCTTCCTGGTTTCTTTTTATCTCTGTAGCTTCCTTTCTTTATCACTTCTCCTTTGGTACTCTCAAGTCTTTGGGGCTTTGGCAGTCTCAAGGACTTCTGCTGGCACTCTTGTTTGAGGAGTCGTGCTGTTACGAAAAGAGTACCAGCTGCACTTGTGACTACCCCCACTAAAATTTTTAGGCTTCTCTTTTAAAAGAATAACATTAAAAATCAGTATGACATTTAAAATTTTTCATTCGCCTAAGTCCTTTCTCCATTTTCATATATTCTGGACAAAGAAACTGAAGCAGCGTATTCACTCTATCTCTGGTATTTTTTTTCCATTCCACTCATGCTGCTCTTTACTGAAAATGCCTCCTTTCTATCTCTGCTCTTCTAAATAATACCCAATCTTCTGTGATTTGTGATGCTAGAAATAATCCATGGTAGTAAACATAGTAGTTTATTAATATCCTCTGTTTGTACTTGTCACTTCCTGTGTAAAATAGAATTGTATTGTAATTATTTGTGTAAATTTATCTCCCTTCTAGAATCTACTTTTCTTAAGAAAATGTTTACTGTCTAATTTAAATCTCCACTAATAGATCCTATAAAGTATGATAATGAATAGTTCTTGAGTAACGTAGAGACCAGTTTACCCCAGATCAATTCAGAATTTGCTTTGCTTCCTTCGTGTGAGAAATAAAAATTTTTTTCTATTTAGTTTTGTTCCCTCCTTTTTATTACCTCCAGATCTCTAAATAGATGTCTGAAGGTTAACTTAGTATAGTTTTTTCTCCAAAGTTTTTATCCCCTGGCTTTCATATAAAATATCATGAGGAGGGCAGTTAAGTACAATGCTACGGTTATCTTACTTGACCTCCAGTGACCAAAGAAAACACCTCCAATTGTTTTTCAAGCTTCAAGTTATTCTTTTCATTTTACATTGGGCTTATGACTCTTGTTTAGGCTGACTGAAAATATTTAACTTCATACTTCTTGAATTAAATACTAACAAGGAAAAGGAGGAGAAGGGAATTCCTACAGACTTCATCTCTGTCCTGAGGGAATCAGTGTTTTTGAGCAAAGATCACTTAGATCCTTGACTTAGGACCTTATTTGTTTTAAAAACAAGTAAAGTGATTGTTAAACCCCGACATTATTACTTATTTATCCTAGGCTAAATGCAGAATTCTGTTTAAATATGGAATTACTAGTCTTTCATTTTTTCAGTATGGATAAAAATGCTTTCAAGTGCTGTCTGCCTCATTTGTTTTTAATTTTTTTTTTTAATCTTTTCTGAGGACAGAATCTTTTCTGCTATTCTAGTTTGAGATAGGTAATACTGTAGAAGGAAGTTCTGGACTAGGTCATAGTTTTGACTCTGCCATTTGCTAAGCATTTGACCTTGGTCCTTGGTCAAATACTTAATGTCCCTGAACTGTTTCCTGATCTATAAAATGGGAATGATACCCTACTTACCACTTTCTTATGAATTTGGTCAGGATACATTAGAAAATGTATAATAGCTTAAATTTATCAAACTTTTACACTGTATCTTGGGCAGTGTGTAAGTGCTTTACATGTATTATCTCGTTTAATCTTCATACCAACCCTATAATGGAAGTAATCATTTTACAGATGAGGAAAATTGAAAAATTTTGCCTGAAATTCCATAGCTAGTAAGTAATGGAACTAAGATTGGAACCTGTCATGCAAATTCTAGAGCTGATCTCTGAATAAGCACAGTCTATTACTAATGCCCTTTGTAAACTACCAAATGCCACATAACTGTATAGCAGTGTTCTTAGTTTGCAAAATAGATTACTAGCCATTGCCCTTACCTCTTCATATATGGAGCACACAAATCTTTGCTTTATTCTTTATTCCCTTCCCAAACTTTCCATTACTACTTTGTAGGTGTTGATAGCTAAACAAAGTTTTTATTTTTAGTGATTTCTCCTTCTAGGGGTTTCACGGACCAGCTGCGTAAGATTTCTAAAGATGCAGGGATGCCTATCCAGGGCCAGCCTTGCTTCTGCAAGTATGCACAGGGGGCAGACAGTGTGGAGCCCATGTTCCGGCATCTCAAGAACACTTACTCTGGGCTGCAGCTCATTATTGTCATCCTGCCAGGGAAGACGCCAGTGTATGGTAAGGATATCATATTAAGATTGCATTTTTCCCCAAGTACTCAATATTCCTTTTAGAGTTATGCTAACGATATTCTAAAATTTTCAAACATTAAAATGTATTTTATAGCTACAGTGTTTAAAATCATGTATTGCTACTATAAAAAGACAAATCAGTAGAGCAAACTCAATAGTCTAAGACCCTGTAAAAAGAATTTCTGTAGTTAAAGGAGGTATTACAAAAGAATGGTTAAGAGAAGAATTATTTATTAAAAATGTCATTGAGATATCTTGAATATCAGCATAATGTAGTGGTTGAAAGCACAGGGTCTGGAATCAGACTGTGCTGCTTAATACCCAGATATTGCCAGGTATACTGCATGTGTGATCTAGCTGAATTACTTAACCACACCAAGCCACACTGAGCCTTCCTCATATTTGAAATTAGGATGCTAAGAATATCTAACCCATGGAAGATTGTTGTAAGGCTTAAATAAATTTACATATGTAAACAGAGCCTAGGATATAGCACCTGACATATAATAAACACCCAGTAAATGTTAGCTGTTATTACTGTAAACAAATTAAAGTTTTTTTGAGATTAATAAGTTAAATATAAATCACTGAGTCATGGAAAAACACAAAGAAAGTATAATTTTCAAACTATTAAATGGAGTATAATAATTTACATTTAGAAATGATAGAATTCACAGACGAGAAGTGTTAGATTTGACTACATAAAAAAATTAAATTTTCTGTGTGTCACAGATGTATAACTAAAATTAAAAGGAAACCATAAACTGTGAAAAATATTTGCAATAAATGGAGACAATGAGGACTAGCTTATTATTATTCAAATACATCTGTTATTGCATTCAAAGGAACACATTTTTATATTCTTTTAGAGTAATGAGAAAAGACTATAAACCAAAATTTCTCAAGAAAAAACAAGTTAAGTATTTGAGAAAATGTTGGCTTTCACCAATAAAGTAAAAATTAATAAAAGGAAAATTTTTATGGTACTAAATTAGCAAATATGTTTAAATACTGTAATACCTAGTGCTTGTGAGTATGTAGTGAATCTAATATTTTAATACATTGTTGATGGCAGTATAAAGTGATAATATCCTTTCCTTGAAAGTATAAAAATGTGTTTTTAGTCAGAAATTCAATATTTCCAATTCCAAAAATGTGTTTTCAAAGGAAAGAATTTATAATGTAGAAAAATCTCTATGCATGAAATTTTCATACCTGTGATGTTAAAAAAAAACTGAGAACTGGTTTTAAATAATGAGTGCGTTGTAGTATGTTGGTGAACTGGTATGTAGTGATTAAAAATGATGGTTATAAAATTCAAAAGATACCTTTTAAGTAGTGGTAAAATGAGGAAGGTTTTAAACTCAAAGAATTTGTAAATTAAGGAAAGAACAAACAACTGAGCTGAAAAATAGGCAAATACCTGAAAGAGAAATACAGATGGTCAGTTACCTTATGACAGGATGCTTAACCTCATTAATTGTTAAAGAAATATGACCTAGTATTTTTCACCAATGATAACACCTATTTTGGGCAAAGCTGTTACTAAATATACATTCTTATACACTATTGATGGGAGGGAAAGTTGATATTACCACATCCTCCAAACTGGTGGTCTTGCCTGCATTCCTTTTAGTTCACTTTCAGTCCATTTTCTACACTACTTCACTGAGTGATTCACTCAGTGATTTTTCTAATTAATAGATTTCATTTTTTAGAATAATTTCAGGTTTACAGAAAAACTGAGCAGATAGTAGAGAGAGTTCCTACATACCCTTCCTCCCATCTGCACAGTTTTTCCTATTAACATCTTGTATTAATGTGGTACATTTAATGAACCAGTACTGATTAATTATTATTAACGTATTGCCACAGTTTACATTAAGGTTTAGTCTTAGTGTGTGCAAGTCTGTAGGTTTTAACAAATGCATGATGTCATGTATCTACTATTACAATATCAAAGAATAATTTCACTGCTCTAAAAATCCCGTGTGCATCTCTCCCTCCATCTCTTCAAACCGCTGACAACTGTTGGTCTTTTTATGTCCCTCTAGTTTTGCCTTTTCTAAATGTCATATAGTTGGAGTCATATGATCTGTACCCTTTTCTAATTGGCTTCTTTCACTTAGCAATATTTAAGATTCTACCATGTCTTTTTGTGGCTTGCTAAGTCATTTCTTTTTAATGGTGAATAATATTCCATTATATGGATGTACTACAGTTTGTTATACATTTACTTGTTAAAGGATATCTTGATTGCTTCCAATTGGGGGCAATTATAAATAATGCTGCTGTAAACATTTACGTGCAGGATTTTGTGTGGACAAAACTTTCCAACTCAGTTTGGTAAATAAGTGGGAGCACAATTGCTGTATCAGATGGAAAGACTGCCAAATTGTCTTCCAAAGTAGCGGTACCATTTTGTATTCCCACCAGCAATGAATGAGAGTTCCTATTGCTCTGCATCCTCTTCAGCATTTGCTGTTGTCAGGTTTTTGGATTTTAGCAGTTCTAATAGATGTGTAGTGGTATCTTACTATTATTTTAATTTGCAGTTCCTTAATAACACATACTATTGAGCATCTTTTCATATGCTTATTTACCATCTGTATATCTTTGATGGAGTGTCTATTCCAATTTTTTGCTCATTTTTTAATTGATGTGTTTTCTTATTGTCAGTTTTAAGAGCTCTTTGTATGTTTGACTGTGGTTCTTTATCAGATACATATTTTTGCGATTTTTTTCCTCCCAGGCTGTGGCTTGTCTTCTCTTAATAGTGTCTTTTGTAGAGCCCAAGTTTTAAATTTTAATAAAGTCATCAATTTTTTTCTTTCACGGATCCTTTTTGGTATTATATTTAAAGGCTTATTGCCAAACCCAAGGTCACCTAAGTTTTCTGTGTTGTCTTCTAGTAGTTTTATAGTTTTCCTTTTTGCATACAGGTTTATAATCCATTTTGACTTAATTTTTGTGAAAGATATAAGGTCTGTATCTCGATTCATTTTTTTGCATGTGGATGTCCAGTTGTTCCAGCACCGTTGGAAAAACTATCTTTCTCTATTAAATAACCTTTGCTATGTTGTCAAAGATTGATTGACTATATTTGTATGAGCCTATTTTTGGACTCTTTATTTTGTTCCATTGGTCTGTATGTCCATTCGTTTGCTAACACCACACTGTCTTGATTAATGTAACTTTGTGGTAAGTCTTGAAGGCCGATAGTGTCAGTTTCTGACTTTGTTCTTCCTCCCTACTAATTACTATTACTATTAGTTAATAAGTTTCTTGCCTCTCTAAACATTAGAGTCATTTTGTCAGTATCACAAAATAACTTGCTGAGATTTTTATTGGGATTACATTGAATCTGTAGATCAAGCTGGGAAGAATTGACAATGTTAAGTCTTTTGTCCTTGAACATGGCAAGTCTGTATTCAGAGCTTCTTTGATTTCTTGTATCAGAGTTTCATAGTTTCCTCATTTATACAAGTATACCTTAGGTATACCTAAGTATACTGGTTTTTTTCTTTTGGTATTAGTGTATATGGTATTGTGTTTTTAATTTAAAATTTTAGTTGTTCATTTTTAGTATTTAGGAAAGCAGTTGACTTTCATATATTTATTTTGTATCCTGTAACCTTACTATAACAACTTATTAGTTCCAGGAAGCTTTTTGTCAATTTTAGGAGGATTTTCTGCATAAATAATCACTTTCCCTGTGAACAAAGACAGTTTTTTTTTTCCTCCCTGTCTGTCCACTTTTATATCCTTTTCCTTGCACTAGCTAGGACTTTCATTACAATGTTGAAAAGCAGTGGTGAGAGGAGACATCCTTGCCTTGTTCCTAATCTAAGAGGGAAGACATCTAGTTTTTTCAGCAGTAAGCATATTGTTAGCTATAAGCTTTCCGTAGTTGTTTTTTGTCAAGTTGAGGAAATTCCCCTGTAATCCAGATTTGCTGAGGGTTTTTATTATGAATGGATGATAGTTTGTCAGAGGTTTTTTTCTGTATCTATTGATATGATCATACAATTTTTCTTCTTTTTTCTCTTAATATGATCGATTAATTGATTTTCAAATAATGAGCCCAGCCTTGCATGCCTGGAATAAATCCCACTTGGTCATGATATGTAATTCTTCTACTTTGTTGGATTCAATTTGGTAATATTTTGTTGAGGATTTTTGCATCTGTGTTCATAATAGATACTGATCTGTAGTTTTCCTCTCTTGTTATATCTTTATCTGGTTTGGGTATTAGGGTAATTTTGGCCTCAGAATAAGTTAGGGTATATTTCCTCTGCTTCTATATTCTGGAACACATTGTAGAGAATTGTTATCATTTCTTCCTTGAATGTTTAGTAGAATCACCAGTGAAACCATCTGGGCCTGGTACTTTCCTTTTTTTGGAAAGTTACTAATTATTGATTCAATTTCTGTAATAGATACAGGCCTACTCAGGTTATCTGTTTCTTCTGTGTGAGATTTGACAGTGTCATTTCAGAGTTGGTCCACTTTATGTAAGTTAATAATTTATAGGCCTAGAGTTGTTCATAATGATCTTTTATTATTCTTTAACCTTGGGGCCAGGGACCCTTTTTTCATTTCATTAATAGTTTCTGTCTTCTTTCTTGAGTAGTCTCGCTAGAGGTTTATCAATTTTTTTCATCTTTTCAAAAATGTTTTTGGTTTCCTTGACTTTCTCTATTGATTTTTTGTTTTCAATTTCATTGATTTCTGCTGTTAATTGTTAATATTTTTTTCCTTCTGCTTGTTCTAGGTCTGTATTGTTCTTCTTTTTCTATTTTCCCAAGGTAGAAACATAGATGGTTAATTTTAGATCTTTTCTAATATATGCATTCAGTGCCATCAATTTTTCTCTTAAGTACTGCTTTCACTGCATCCCACTAATTTTGATAAGTTGTATTTCATTTTCATTTAGTTCAAAATATCTTTAAATCCCTCAGGAATTTCTCTTTAACCCATATGTTATGTAGAATTATGTTGTTTAATATGCAGGTATTTGGGGATTTCCTGGCTATCTTTCCATTACTGATATCTAGTTTAATTCCATTGTGGTCTGAGACCATATTTTGTGTGATTTCCATTCTTTCAAATTTGTTGAGGTGTGTTACTGGACCGAAATGTGGTCTATCTTGGTGAATATTCCCTGTGAGCTTGAGAAGCATGTATATTATGCTGTTATTGGGTGAAGTATTTTATAAATGACTCAGAATCAGTTGATTGATGGTGCTGTTCAAGTCAGCCATATCCTTTGATCTTCTACCTGCTGGATCTGTCAATTACTGGATCAAAGTGTGTTGAAGTCTCCACTATAATAGAGGATTTGTCTGTTTCTCCTTGCCAATTCTATCAGTTTTGGCCTCATTTATTTTGGAATTCTTTTCTTAGCAGCATACGTATTAAAGATTGTACTGTCTTCTTAAAGAATTGACCCTTTTATTGATATGGAAGACCACCCTTTATCTCTGATAATCTTCCTAGTTCTGAAATTTATGTGTGAAAATAATATAGCTACTCCAGTTTTCTTTTCCTTGGTGTTAGCATGGTATATCTTTCTGTATCACTTTATTTTAAGCTGTATCTTTATATTTAAAGTTGGTCTCTTTTTTTCCCTTTTCCAGTTTTAATTGAGCATTTTATGTTATTCGGTTTTCTCTCCTCTCTTATCATATCAATTATACTTGTTTTTAAAAAATTTTTAGTAGTTTCCCTAGAGTTTGCAGTATACGTTTATAGCTAATCTAAGTTCACTTTCAAGTAATTCTATACTATTTCACAAATATTGTAGATGCTTTATGACAGGGTATTCCCAGTTCCTCCTGCCCGTCCCTTAACAGTATTGCTGTCATTCATTTCACTTATCCATAAGGTATAACCACCCAATATATTGTTGCTATTATTATTTTGAACAGTTATCTATTAGTTCAATTATGAATAAGAAAATAAAATATTTTATTTTACTTTTTTTATTCCTTCTCTGACCTTCCTTTCTTTAATATATATCTGGACTTTTTTTTAATTTTCCTTCTCTTCTGAAAAACATCTTTTGTCATTTCTTGGAAGGCAAAGTATACTGTCAACAAATTCCCTTAGTTTTTATTTGTCTGAGAAGGTATTTCCCCTTCACTTTTTAAAAAATTATTTGCTTATGTTTACTTATAAATCAGATTATCCACTCACATAGTTACCAGTGTTAAAAATAATTCCGAAATTCTTATTTTCAGAAACAGCCCCTTTATAGCCTTTATCTCATTTGTTTTTCTCATAGAAAAACTCTTTCATCATTTGCCACTTTTTTAATTTAATTTTTGGTTTTTGAGTGTGGCTACCTATTTCATCCTCTTCTGTAGTATTGCCCTCTTTTGCCAGAGCCCTGGAATCTCTATATTTGTCATGTTGGTATAGGTGATACCTTCCTTAAGTTAATCATTTGGTGTCAGATTTTGATTGTGGTTTTCATTCCTTCTGAGGTACTGTTTTCATGGGAGTGTTCCTTAGTTAGCTACTTTTTAACAAGTTTCTGTGTGTGTGTGGTAAAATATACATAACATAAAATTTACCATTTTAACAGTTTTTAAGTGTGCAATTCAGTGGCATTAAGTATATTCACAGCATTGTGCGCCATCACCACTATCCATTTCCAGAACTTTTTCATTGACTCAGACAGAACCTCTATACCCATTAAACAATAACTCCCCATTCCCCTACCCACCAACCCCTGGTAACCTCTACTCTACTTTCTGTCTCTGAATTTTCCTATGCTAGTAACTCATATAAATGGAAGCATATAATACTTGTCCTTTTGTTTCTGGCTTATTTCACTTAAGGTAACGTCCTCAAGATTTATCTATGTTGTGGCATGTATTAGAATTTTATTAGCCTTTTAACAGGTTTACAGTTCAGTGACATTAAAAACATTCACATTTTGGGGCATCCATCACCACCATTCATTCATCTCCAGAATTTTTTCATCATCCCTATCTGAAACTCTGCACTTACTAAACAGTAACTCCCCAACTCCCCTCTCTCCCCTCAAACCCTAGAAACCTGTGTTCTTTTTGTCTCTATGAATTTGACTATTCTGGTTACCTCACATAAATGAATTACAGTTTTTCAGTTTGTTCAGCTTTTTATTGTTGTGAGGTAGGGAGTGATGACTTCTAAGATTTTACATGTTGATACTATAACCAACGTCCAGAGTAAAATTTTTAAAATACAGATCTGATTGGGTCTCCTTCCCTGTCACCCCCACTTCAGTAGTTTTTCATTATATAATTGATAAAATTGATATTTAAAATTATCTTCCAAGGGTTTGCATGCTCTAATCCATGAATTCCTACCTCTTCAGAATTCAGTTCACTTTATGCTCTTTTTTCCCCACAGAAACTCTTTGTTCACCCTCTTCCTTCTACCTGTATTACTTCTCATAACTCATCTTCTTCCCTTCACCAACTAAATGTACATTATTCTTTTGAATTTTAGTTAAGACATCCCTTCCATCCAGAAGCTCTACCTGCCCTCTCTGACAAGGTCAAATTCTCTCACTTTTATTGTCTTATAGCACCTTGTATCACTCCTTTATGTTGTTTCATAGTTGTAATGTTAAATTTGAAGTTATTTAATTAATGCCTATTTCTCTGACTAGACTGTACTTTCTAAGAGCAAGAAGAATTTCTCTCTTGAGTAACCAGAGCTTCACACAGTGCTAGCATGTTTAGGTAGACATTAAACATTTGTAGAATGAATGAATAAACCTTTTTGGAGGGTAATTTGTCAGTATCTGTTAAAATGTTAAATTTTTATGTATACCTCTGACTCCTCAATTCTACCTGAGGAAATTAATCCTGAAGCTATAGTTATATCAACCAAACAAAAGTAAATATACAAGGAGGTTACTCATAGCATTGTTTGAAATAATGAAAACCTGAAACAGGCTAAATATATGTCAGTATATGAGTGGTTAGGAACCTTATGGCATTTAAAAACAGAATAACTGCTGCCATTATAAATAATAGAGTCATCTTTATAAGAAGGTATATACACTGAACTTATGGTAATTACAGTGACAGAGGAAAGGAACAGGGTAAAAGCCTATTTATACTGTAATACTTCTATAAATTTTGAAGAATAGGATTGAAATCTGTAAATATACTGTGATTATAACTGCATTAAAATAATATAAATGAGAAAATTATTAGAAGAGAGTACAATTAAATGCTAAAAAGGGATTATATATATTTTTCTCTGGTTTTTCAGTTATTGTGGTTAAGCTGTTCTTATGATGACAAAATATGCTTTTTTAAAATTTTTTATTGAAGTGTAGTTGATTTACAATGTTAGTTTCAGATGTACAGCAACGTGATTCAGTTATACACGTACATACATACATATATATATTCTTTTCAGATTCTTTTCCATTTGTATATTATAAGAAATTGAATATAGTTTGTGCTATTCAGTAGGTTATCCTTTCTTACATGTGAAGAAAAAATGGAAAAATTATCACTAAATATTTAAGCTAATCTTCAAGGCAATATACTTTAAATTTTAATAGCCTTGTTTTAGTATTGATATAATTTGGGGGATCCTGCAGTACAATGATGTATTTCGCAGAGGGAAACCTACATAGCAGCTTAATTTTGAGTAAAATTTGACCTTTTTCTAACTAGAGGTATTTGTATTTGTTCCTTAGCGGAGGTGAAACGTGTCGGAGATACACTTTTGGGTATGGCTACGCAGTGTGTTCAAGTCAAGAATGTAATAAAAACATCCCCTCAAACGCTCTCAAACCTGTGCCTAAAGATAAATGTTAAACTCGGAGGGATCAATAATATTCTTGTACCTCATCAAAGGTAAAATAAGTGAATCACATAATAAAATATTCATTATTTTTCATATCTTAGTTTTTCTATATATTGCCACGTCTAACATCTGTGTAAGGAGACAGGTTTGATGATTCCTGCCGTAGGAGATAAGTGGACATTATGGCAAAAAGTTAAGAGTTTGGATTGACAAGAGTTAAAAGATTCCATTGTGAAAAATCCGCTTCCACCTCCATTTTCATTTAGTATGCAAAGTACCTTTTTCCCTAGCTAGAAAGTATTGAGAACTTTATTTATAATAATTTCTCACTAGCGACCCCAGCTTGAAGAATCTTCTCTTTGTTTGATAGTTGTCTTTAATCATCTTCAATCACGAACCTACTCACTTACCTAGAAAGTGAAGGAAGAAAGGAGGGGCTTGGGCGGGGGCGGGGAGGGGAGGCACATGTCAATGAAGTAAATCAGCCATATCAACTCCTGCTGGAGTCACTGAGACAACAGTTGTTAACTGTTAGATCACCATCTTGTCTCAGAGTTCTTAGGCTATATGGGGCATGATGACCTAGAAACAGGGTGCTGGGAAGAGACAGTTATTTGGGGAATGAAATGATAGGTTTCCTTTTAATAGTTGAAGCAATTAGGGCTCTAAAAAGTTAAATATCTTGACCAGTGTGCACCACAAATAAGCATTAGAGTAAGGATGGGACCTGTGTATGTTTGACACAGAATCTCTTTTCCTGTTTTTCCATGTTGCCTCTATTTTCCATCCCTATTAAATATGAGATTCATAAATGAGATGAATGTAGAGTTTTAGCAACAAGTCCAAGAACTAAGAGAAGCAGTCATTTGAATCTTAAAGGATATAGTTTTAAAATAAAATGAGCTACTAGCTACTTTATGACTATTAAATACGTTACTCAAATTTTATACTTTTGGTTATAGGTCCCATAATCCCTCCCAGTGTAGTTTAATGATTGTTTTTCTCCTTGAGAGATTACATTGGCTTAAAATGTAAGTAGATTAAAGAAAGATTGATATAAATTGGTGGATTAATAAGAGGAAGTTTATCGTTTTATGCCTGTTATGAAAAATGCTAGCAGCAATTGCCCTTTGTAACCAGCAGCACCACTGCTTAAGGCAGAAAACTGCTCTGAATAAGACATTGGGTAGATCCCTTACGACAACTTTTACTTCATTTACTTAGGGATTCATGAATTAAGAGAATAAAGCTGTCAGTAGTTCAGGCCTATGAAGCTGTCTATAAAGGACCTCCACTGTGCTATACCAGCAACCTATAATTGTGTTGCAGTAGTATGAAACAGATAACTGGATAATGAGAAAAAATGAATTATCTAACTCTTTGTGTTTAAGACCATCTGTGTTCCAGCAACCAGTGATCTTTTTGGGAGCAGACGTCACTCATCCACCAGCTGGTGATGGGAAGAAGCCTTCAATTGCTGCTGTAAGTGTCATTAGGCACTTTTATCTTATCTAAAGTTTATACAAAGATCAACATTTTGGTTTCAACTTTTTGAATTTTAGTATTTTCTTTGAAACCAACTTTTATAAATATAAAGTTTTTAAAATATATTTATGAAGTTTTATAAATATATATCTATTTATAGACATAGCTAGGGCCAACTTTTAAATGTTCTTTGGGTTTTTGAAAAGAATGATTATTCTCTGATTTGGAGGCTACAGGTTCCGTATGTATCTGTTAAATCAAGTTTATTAATATTACTCAGCTTGTCTGTATCCTACTTTAATTTGAACTCTTCATGTTGTATATTTTCAGTTACTTTTTGTAATTCAAAAAGTTTAATGTATTTTAGTAGTGTCTTTGTTACAGAAATGTGCATTACCTATAAGCTTGGTGGATTGTGTTTTTTTTCAGTGTATCTGCCACTTTTGTCCAATTAAATACTTTGCATTTGAATTCTTTGTTTAATACTGCCCCTCTTACTTTTAATATCTGCCCGTTCTATCTTTTGCCCACTTTTACATTTGTAACCTTTCTATGTCAATTCAAAAACTGTATTTCTTATAAACTTCATAAAGCCAGCTATTTTACCCAACTTGAAAATTGCTTGACTTTAACAAATGCCAACATTGTGAAAATGTCAATATTTTTAGGCATACTTGATAAATTTCAGAAATTACACAAACTTTTTATGTTTTTTCTATCATTCATTATAAACTACATTTTAATTTTAAAAATCTAATAAATCTTAATCCTTGAAAATTATAGTAATATTAAATTTTTATTTATTATTCTAAGCTACTTTTATTAGTGAAGAAAATTAACTTTTATTTATTAATAAATTACATAATCTTTGTATTCTTAATGTTATGCATAAATTGTGTACATTTCAAGGGTCCTAGAGGTAGTATTGAGCCATCTCTGATATTCATTAAACTATTCTTATAGAAGATAAAATGATAAAAAATTCAAGAGACTCAACTTTGGATTTGCCTTTTTTGCAGTTATTTTCCAAGAAAGTTTAAACATATTTAGATTCTTTGAAAATTCTGGGTTGTCATTGTCCTTTTTTGCTAAATCCATTTTTACCAAATATCCACTTTCTTTTATGATTATCAGAGGTTTTGTAAGTAGGATTTGATTCTTTTTGCTGTATGTCTTCTATTCCCAAAAACTTAGACTAGTGTGAGAAACAATGTAAGTAATAAATGCCACGTAGTATAATAGATACTACCATGATAGTGATATAAATTAAAATTAAGCATGCAGAAATCTAGTGTGTTTGGGGATATTCCAGATGCAGGGAATTGGAATGTAATACAGTAGGTTGTTGGGCTAGTAAGATTTTGTGAGGATTTTTTTTTCCCCATCAGAAGGGGTATGGATTTATTTTTTTTAGTAGTGAGAAAGAAAAGGTCACACTTCCTTTTTTTTTAACATAGAGAAGATAAAGAAAAAGCAGATACAATTCCATGTACATAAGTAAGCAGCAAGTTCTGGCTCACTTTTTTTTAAAACACTTGATTATTTTCTAATCTGACCTGAGACAAGAGAAATATAAGAATTTTCCATGTTTTGGTTTCTAGTAAGACATTTAAATTACTGACAGGAATTTGATACTCTTGAAATACTGTTTACTTTTATTTATTTATGTTGTAATTGAAGTATAATTGACATATAATATTATTTTAGTTTTAAATGCACATGATTTAATATTCATATATGTATTACAAAATGATCACTACAATAAGTCTAGTTAACGTCTATCACCATGCATATCTACAGATTTTTTTCTTGAGATGAGAACTTTTAAGATTTACTCTCTTAGCAGTTTTCAAACATGCAATACAGTATTAACTATAGTCACTCTGCCATATGTGACATCCCCATGGCTTATTTATTTTACATCTAGAAGTTTGTACCTTTTGACCCATTTCACCCATACCCCACCCCTCTGGCAACCACTAGTCTAATCTCTTATCTGTGAACTGATTTGGAGTTTTTTATTTGTTTTTTGTTTTTAAATTCCACATATAAGTAACATCATATGGCATTTGTCTTTTTCTGTCTGACTTATTTCACTTAGCATAATGCCCTCAGGGTCCATCCATGTTGTCAAAAATGGCAAGCTTCCGTTTTTAATGGCTGAATAATATTCTGTTTTATGTATATGCCACATTTTCTTCATTCATTCGTCCTTGTACATTTAGATTGTTTCCATGTCTTAGGTATTGTAAATAATGCTGCAATGAGCATGACGGTGCAGAGTTCTATTTTTTAAGCATGACTATGGTATAGAAGGAGAAGCTAAAAGGAGAATAACCAGCTGGTTCTCAGCTGAGGCTCTGATCACAATGATGTGTGGACGTTTGTAAATATTCTGTTTCCAGAGATCCTGCTTCAGTAGGTCTGTGAGTGACAACAATCAAGGTGAACTTACAAGTTCATGCTTCAAAGTTCCCTCTGCTCCAGACACATAACAATATTAAGACACAGAAAGAGAAAATTAAGTTAGCTACTCTCAAAACTAAGATTAACTTCTATGAGGACCAGATACAAAGCAAAATACAGTGCAATAAGACTGAGTATAGATTCAAGCCTTCTTGTCTAAGACGTTACAGTAAGAGAGGAAAAATTATTTTATAATTTATGAAGTATAACAGTTCTAAGGTATGCCAAAGTCTTGAGTATGACTCCTGGGATGGTTTGCAGGACTGTAAGAGCTATAAATAGAAATCAGGGGTTTGAATGGGCCCTCTGTTTTACTTATCTCCTTCCTCTTATTCTCTTTATGTACATCTTTTTGTCTCTTTCTGTCCTTACGAACCATTAAGTCTACCTGCAACACCTATGAATTAGAATCTAATTGTTAGATGTAAAGTGCAGCCTACTTATAGGCAAATAGTTTTTGACCCTAACTGGGTCTTTTATTCTTTTCTTCACTGGAATTATCTATTTTTATTACTTTCAAAATGAACACTGATAGCTAAGGTTATAGTAAAGATACAAATTTAAATGAAATCCATGTACTTCTAAAAAAATTTTTTTTGGTGATAAAATTCATGTTAATATAGTTTTGGTTATCTAAATTTCTATTTTTCTTTACTTTTTCCAACCTAGGTTGTAGGTAGTATGGATGCCCACCCAAGCAGATACTGTGCTACAGTAAGAGTTCAGAGACCCCGACAGGAGATCATCCAGGACCTTGCCTCCATGGTCCGAGAACTTCTCATTCAGTTTTATAAGTCAACTCGGTTCAAACCTACTCGTATCATCTTCTATCGGGATGGTGTTTCAGAGGGGCAGTTTAGGCAGGTTGGTTGCCTGAGATCTCATACTGTGGTTAAATCAGATACTGTGTTCATAATATGGTGTCTAGTTGTGAAGTTAGAAGTCTTAATTAAATTGAAAGTTCCTAAAGTCAAATTTTGACACTTCCTTAAATTTTTTCCCTTTTAAAATGTTTACTGTGAATGTGTAAGCCTTGATCACTAAAACCATGCTCTGATAATAGTTAGGATGAACTAGAGAAGTATAATTAGCTATACAGTGATGAGACTAAGAAATCCTGAGACTAAATTATTAACTGATCTTTCAAGTATGCGTAAGAGAATAGCTGACTATATCAAATCTTTCCATTTTATCTTCTCTAGGTATTATATTATGAACTGCTAGCAATTCGAGAAGCCTGCATCAGTTTGGAGAAAGACTATCAACCTGGAATAACTTACATTGTAGTTCAGAAGAGACATCACACTCGATTATTTTGTGCTGATAGGACTGAAAGGGTAATCTTTTATCTTTTGTAATACTGTTATAAGCAAAGCTTACTTAGCATAGTTCATAGAGCACTTAACAAAGGCTCTCTGCCAACAGCAGTTTCTAATGTATAGTAGCAGGTTACAACAAAGCAGATTTTGAGTACTGAAGCATCAGAATAGGTTAATTTTTAACTTTCTAGAATATCTGGTAACACTATAAATGTTCAGAATCCCATTATGCTTTTTTATTGTGAAGAAACTCATAGTTTTAAAATTGTTCTTTTTCTTCATATTTTCCTTAAATGTTTAGAAGAAAAAAGTTATGTTCTCTTTTTAAAATACCTTGTAAAAATTATTTTTACAAGTGAGGCACTTTCTAGAGTGGGTTAGTGGAAATTCATGCAAACGGACTTTCATTTCCCATACTCTGCCCCCATCTTACAAACCTTAGAGCAGAGAAATCTGAGGATTGCAAGTGTCAGTGTCCCCTTGGGAAAGGGGTTCAACAGAAAAGGAGAAAGGGAGGAGTGTGTCTTGTCTTTGGTATATATTTGATCTTTGATTACACTCATTGAGTAACTCTGGACAAGTAACTTAACATCTCTGTGCCTGTTTATTTCTCAGCAAGGTTTGGATAATATTAGTATTTACCTTATTTGCATTTTTGAAAGGATTGAAAAATTAAAATTATATAATGCACCGAGAATGGTGCTTGGCACATCCTAAGCACTCAGTTAAGCTTAGCTAGTTGTAGAGTGGTGGTAATGGTGGCAATGATAAAGAAAAAGAAGTCATAATAGCAGACACTGTTCAGGATATTTTTTGTAAATAACTCATTTAATCCTCACAAACAACACTATGAGGTACTTACTATTATTTTTATTATTATTATTCCCATTTTCCACAGGAGGGGACTGTGGTGCGTGGAGGTTAAGTGAGCTCTAAGGTTACAAAGCTAGTAATTGATAGAACTAGAACTTAAATTAGGCAGTCTGGGTCCAGAGTGCTCTTAATCACTGACCTATACCACCTCTTTAATAGCAGTGATAATAGTTTTATTATGGCCTCCACATTGTTAAAGGCCTTTGATCCCAAAATTAGTAGGTACATTTCTGTACCTAGAAAACCAAAGGCTTCTTCAAAAGTAGAATTAGGAAAACCTAAGTTAGATTTAATAATTACTAGCTTCTGATGTCTAGTCATACCTTTTCTTCATTTGTTTGCTTCTCTTTCACCTCTGCTCTAAATAATTCTAATTATATTAGATGAGAGATAATTGTAAATGAAGAAACAGAGGCACAGAGAGGAAAATAGCATGCCCTAGATTTCACAACTAGAAACTGGTGGAGCTGAGATAGGAACACGTGTATTCTGCTGCCTCTCTAAATGGAGTAAACTTTTCTTTTTTAATGGAAGTATAGTTGATTTACAGTGTTGTGTTAGTTTCAGGTGTACAGCAAAGTGATTCAGTTATACATTTACATATATATATATTTTTTTCTTTTCAGATACTTTTCCATTATAGATTATTATAAGATAGTAAATATAGTTCCCTGTGCTATACATTAGGTCTTCATTGTTTATCTATTTTATATTCTAGAGTAAAACTTTTTATATGTATTAATTAGGAGATTTGTGTGTTAAGAATAGGCATATAATTTCATAGATTATGAATGGTTTTCTTTGTTTTGTGCTTTGGTAAAGGCTAGCTGGTTGGTCCACACAGTTATAATTCAAGCCATCACTTGATAGCAGTCCCTCACACAGAGGAAATAATGTCTGAGTCAGTAAAAAAAGTTTCTGATTTGCTAGCCGTGTAAACCTCAACTTATAATTAATGATTTTAAATGTGTTAGGGATAAAGAGATAGAGGTGAGTGTACCTATGCATTTTAAAGTGTTTTATTAAGAGCATTTCATTATCAGGCATTTCATACTATTTCATTCACGTGATACTCTACTCAGAGAAAATCATGATGCCTCATTTTTTTTTTATAAGATATTGAAACTGCTAGTAGGAAGTAAAAGGAATAGAGCCTTTGCAGCCATTTCCATATTTGACTGTCGGTTCTGCCCTTCATTTTATGCTATTGAGCAAGTTATTTTGTATTCCTGAGCCATGATTTCCCCTCAAACAAATGGGAATAATGCCTAATTTTCAGGATTATCACAATTAGAAATAATTTATGTAACGTACCTGGCATGTAAATGGTTAACAACTGATGACTCTAGTTGATGTTATCAGCATTCTTTCCCTCTTAAAATATAGGGTTCTCCAAGGAAAATGCTAATTTTCATAAAATTACATATTCAAGAGTACCTGCCATGCACAGATACCATAAATTAGAGCACTTAAAGTAACTTTAAAAAAAATTTTTTTTAGGTCTTCTACCCTCATTAGGATCAACTACCAGCTAAGCATCAATAGAGACTAATAATTCTTTGTTGTTTATCAGCTCTCTCAGCAACATTTAAGAGTAGAAACTAGGAATAGAATAAGATCTGCTCTTAATGCCTGCTTAAGTAATAATGTAGTGACACAGGTGATCAGTGTATATATTTATACTTTTTTACAAGTGCTTTCAGCCACATTCTTTACCTTTGTCTTGTTTGTTTAAATTTTGACCAAACAAATCTAGGTCGGAAGAAGTGGCAATATCCCAGCTGGAACAACAGTTGATACAGACATTACACACCCATATGAGTTTGATTTTTACCTCTGTAGCCATGCTGGAATACAGGTAAGCCTATAAACTTGGGGTGAAATGTTTCAATTCAGGAACTTCCGTACTTACGCTTTTTTTTTTTTAAATCTCAGAAAAAGGAGAAATACTCTTCTCTGCAATTCAAACTGTTTCCACATGAAATGAGATGAAACTTTCAATAACTAAACTGTATCCCCTTTCTCACCTTGAGAGGGACTTATTTCTGTGAAAATACCATAGTATAAGTAGTTTAATAGAATGAATCTCCCTAAATGAGGTCCCTAATTTAACACAAAACTTCAAAAAAATCTGAAATACCTGATTATTTCTTTGACATATACTTCTTTTTGATAATACTTCTTCATAAAAATCTTTGACATTTACTGGCAGATACTGAGTATGTGAAAGAGTTTAATTGTAGAATTACAGCTTTAGGTTTCAGTTAAATAATTTTAAGAGTCTTTTCGTATTTTCAGAAAATCTTTTTGTTAATTTGTTAGCTATACTTAGTAGAGCAGAAGCTTTATTAATTCAGTGCTTCTCAGCAGCAGACAGTGAATCCATAGTTTCAGGATGTCTGAGAGAATGTAGCCCAAACCTATTTTAGTTTACTTGTCGTTGATTAAAATAGAAATTTCAGGAAGATGTACCTAACTGTGCATCTCTATCTTTAAGCTTTGTGTGTCACACATGCACTAACCCCAGTTTCACTCTTACGGCTTTAAAATTATTATCCCACTCATTTATGTATGTTCTTATATCTGCTCCTCTTTACAATGTACATTTTCATGGTGGGTGGTAATAGTCAGCAAAACAAAGTTAAAAGTATCTTCTAGAGGTAAAATCTGTCTCATTTGAGTACATGTTTTAACCTAGTGTTTCCCTCTACGTATCCCAAGGAACACTACTGGTATGACTTTTTAATAAATATAGCAGAAGGGAGAAAAAAAATTCTCTGTTCATGTAAATTTTAGAAATGTTGGTTGAACAGATTTTTTTTTACTCTAGAACTCTTGGGTTCCAATGATATGCAAATGGTTATTATGAATCCTTAAGACAGAATATTTCCGCAGTGCATTTAACCAGAAACTAGGGAACATTTTGGGCGGGGGAGGGGGATACCAAATTGAAACGTTACTCTAGTCAGCAAATAACCAGGAATATTTCACAGGAACTAAAGACAGCTCATTATACACCTTCTTAGCATTATTAAAATTTTCAAACTTTGAGATAAAAAAAAAGTCTTGTTTTTTACCAGCTAAAATTAAAACAAAATCATTTCTAGCCAGTATAAGAGATTATTTTTTCATATCACTACTTTTAACTTTACCATTGAGTAGCAACTCCTTTATGGCCAAATTCCATTACTTAACATTTATACTGGTCAGCTTAGTCCCATTTCCTCCCCTCCCCATTTTATTTTGAGGTAAAATTCCCATTCATTTTTAAAGCTTAAATTTACAAATCAAATCAAAGCTTGGCTCTTCCCTTCTACCCTCCACCTGCCCAAGACAGGCTAGAGCTTTGGTCTTAGTGTTTTGAACAGGTAAGAGGACCATAGGCTGACTCTGAAATACCCACTTCCCTTCCTCCTTCTAGGACTCTTAACTCATCTGGTACCACTGACTGCCAGAACGTCAGCAGTGGAGAGGCGACACAAGTCTTTCTGTAGTCCATTCAGATTCTTTCTAACCCTTTAGCCTCCATGGAGCTGAGGACCCTCAAAGGGCAGCAATGTCTTTCTTTGGCCCCTTCAGTGGTATAGACCCCAACTCCTTTAGGTTAGATTATTTCATTGCATGGCGCCAAGGCTCCTCCTTCTCTGCTCATTTTCATTTTTTAAGCTGCCAAAACTGCTTCCAAGAACTCTCACCACTCTAGCTCTGTGGAGTCAGCAGAGTGGGCCTGTGGACTCTGAGCTCAGAAGTATCCAGTTGTGGAATGAGATGATAGTCTCTCCCTTTCTAACAGGTCTCATCTTTATAACTGATTCTCTTGGAGTGCCCGTTAATTCTCTTCAGGGGAGAGAGAATGACTTTCTTCACAACTAAAATAACATATTTTCACAAAAACTTCTGCCTCTTCCTATGCTAAGAGGATGAGGGTAAGATGAGAAGAAGCTAGAGCCAGGGATTTGGTGATCTCCTTCATTGCTCCTTCATTGAGCCCTTGAGAGAGGATGGCTGGCTCCAAAGATTGGTAGCTGTTTACAATGTAAGCTGCTCAGTACCTTTAGTCCTCTGCTTTGGGCCTTAGTTGAAATTCTAGAACAGCAGGGGAAAAAAAATCCCACTTATCATACTGTTAGAAACATATTAACTGGATGGAGTATGTGACCCCTCTGACCCACTGAAGGAAATTCTCCTGAAGAGACGAATGCACCCTATTGAGTCAGAGTGGGCCGTGTCCTAAATTATGACTTCCTGATATAAATCGGCAGAACTTCAAAGATATCCTTCACTGTCGTTTAATAGTTCTTTGACTCCTCATTCATTAACTTTTTACCTTTTTCTGTGGGTTCCTAACCTTGGTCTGTTGCCTTAACACTCAGCACGTGACCCCTTCCTTTTACTTCATTAAGAAATTATATTGTCAGTCATGCCTGTTTTCTTCCCTCCTTTCTCACAGGAAAAAGGGTCAACCTGTAGGACTGTTCTCATTTGTTCTTGCCTGCCTTAAGTTGGCCTTAGTTCACCAGTTATCCTCTCACATATCTTCAGTGTCTTCTAAACTTCTGATTCCATTCCCTTAGCTTATAGTTACCCCTGTCCTAAAATACGGTTCCTTGATCCTGCTGTTCTTTTAAGTTATTGCCCCATATCTTTCTTCCATTTGTCACCAAACCGTGCTTAAAATAATAGCCTAAACATACCCACCAGGATGGCTGAAATTTTAGAAGACAAACAATATTAAGGATATATAGCAACTGGAACTCTTACACTCTCCTGGTAGGAGCATAAATTAATATGAACATTTTTTAAAACTACCTGGCACCTACTAAATTTAAATATATATATGCTCTATGACCAGGATTTCCACTCCAAGTTAGCCAGCAGAAAAGTATGTCTATGTTCACCAAAAGATAATATGTTAATATTCATAGTAGCACTGGTCCTAATAGTCAAAAAATATAAACAAGTCAAATGGCTGTGATCAGTAGATTGGATAAATAACTATACAAATGAGCTTATACAACAGAATATTATACAACAGTGAGAATGATGCCAACAATATGTATGAATTTCATACACAATATCCAACCAAAAAAGCTAGACCAAAAGAGTACATACATTATAAAGTTCAAAAACAAGCAAAACTGAACTATGATGTTAAAAGTCAGGTTACGAGGAGCAGGGTGGCAGGTGGGATAGTGACCAAGAGAGGGCACAAGAAGGCTTTGTAGTTGCAGTTAATGTTTTTTCATTTGGGTGCCAGTTTCGTGGGTATATTCACTTTGAAAATTCATCAATCTATATGTGAACATGGTCTATGTACTCTTCTCTATATGTTTATACTTCTATAAAATGTTTCCATTAAGAACAAAAAAAGACTAAGCTTCTTCTTCCTCATCAGCTTACAGCAGCCTGCCTTCTGCTCCGCCACTATTGCTCCTTGATCTCCCTAACATCTGTTTTCACGCACTCAAGGAAACCACCTACCATTTGACTTCCACTACATGTTTTAGCCTACCTGTCATCTTGCCATCGTTTTTTTTTCCAGATTTAGTTCTTCTTCCATCCACTCTTTAAAATTTTAAGTTCAAATAATATTCATGACTTTGAAATCTTTTTACAGACAGAATGTTTTTACGGATTTCCAGGTTTTGAAGCTATTTTTGATTGTACCCTCTCACGTACCACCCTTATGTAATGAATCCCTCAACTCTACAGAATCTACCATCTCACTCTTAGATCTAGTCTTTATTCTTATCCTCACCTCCCCTGCTTAGTTCCAGTTCTCATTATTACTTTCCTGTACAATTACACAATGATCCCGAATGCCCTCGTTGAGTCTGTTCTCATCAGATTATTTAAAACACAACTAAGGCCTATCATTCTTCTACCTAGTGCTTCACATCCAGTGAAGGTGAAGTCTTATCTTCCTAGGACAACGTGTAGATTCTATTCCGTATATCTAACTATCTTACTCCCTTCACTTCTGCTACACCCTCAGTCTCTGTCTTTTGCTCTTTTCTCCCATTCTTCCCTCCTACTCCTCCCCTCTCCTTTTCTTTTCCTCTCTGTCTCCTCTCTTTACATATACAAACACACAACACATCTTCAGCCATTCTAAACTACTTTTAGATAGTCTCATAACTGTCTTGCCCATGCTACTCTCTTACCTTAAGCATTCTTTCCCTAACTCCTGCTCTTCCTTTAAGACTCATCTCAGACAACAGTTCTTCCCAGTAGCCTTTCTTGTATTCTTCCCCAAGACAAATGCCCTTCCCCTGCACTGCCTGAGCACCCTGTGCATACTTCTTTGTTGCATTTATTACACAGCATTGCAACCATGCTTTTGTTTCTCTCCCTGTCTCACTAGTCTATAAGGTGAGAAAAGGAAGAGGTTACTCATTCATTCAATCAACAGATATTTATTGTGTACCTCTTAGAAGATAGGTGTTGATACTAGGTATATGGAGTGAGCAAATAAACATAATCTCTTCCTCTTTTAGTTTATTGGGGGAGATGTATTAAGTAAGTAACCTCATAAATATATATTTATAAATGGGGTAAATGCAATAAAAGGAAAGTAAAGATAGGAAGAGAGACTTTAGTGGGAAACTAATTTAGATTGGGAGATCACAAAAAGCTTCCCTGAGAAATGGCATTTAAGATAAGATCTTGAGGGATGAATAAGAGTTAACCAGGCCAAGAATTAAGAAGCAGCACATATATAGGCCATTTTGGTGGAAAGAAATTTATCCATTGAAGGAACCAAGTGGAGGCAGCTACTGCAGTATGAGAGTAGATTAGAGAGGTAGCCTGAGCTGGACCATATAGGTCTTGTTGGGCAAAGATGAGGATTTGGATTTAGTCTAAGTGCATTGAGAAGCCATTAAAGCTTTGACTGGGCACTAACATAATCAGGTGTGTGTTATGCTTTGTTTTTTAATTCACTCTTATTGAAGTACTGATTGTACTAAGTAAGAGTAATATTGAGGACATCAGTTAAGAATCTGTTA